AAGGAGGCCATGAATGTGTATAGTGTTTTGGATAGGAGGGCTTGACTGTGGATAATGTTTTGGGTAGGAGGCCCTGACTGTATATAATGCCTGACTGTGTATAATGTGTTAGGTAGGAGGCCCTGACTGTATATAAATCCCCTGACTGTGTATCATGTGTTGGGTAGGAGGCCCTGACTGTGTATAATGTGTTCGATAGGAGGCCCTGTCTGTGTATCATGTGTTGGGTAGAAGGCCCTGACTGTGTATCATGTGTTGTGTAGGAGGTCCTGACTGTGTATCATGTGTTGGGTAGGAAGCCCTGACTGTGTATAATGTGTTGGGTAGGAGGGCCTGACTGTGTATAATGTGTTGGGTAGGAGGCCCTGACTGTGTATAATGTGTTGGATAGGAAGCCCTGTCTGTGTATCATGTGTTGAGTTGGAGGCCCTGACTGTGTATAATGTGTTGGGTAGGAGGCCCTGACTGTGTATAATGTGTTGGGTAGTAGGCCCTGACTGTGTATCATGTGTTGGGTAGGAGGCCCTGACTGTGTATAATGTGTTTTAGGAGGAGGCCCTGAGGAACCGTAAGAAGGAACGTGAAGACCTTGGTGTAGAACTTTATGGTGTTCAACAGGAGCTGGCACGCTACCAGATGATGCTGGAGAAGCATCACGATGAATACTCCCAACTAGCTCAGGCACGACTTCAGGAGGAACAACAGCTCCAGGATGTACGCGCTATGTACAAGGAATCTCAAACCACTGTCAACAAGGAGAAAAAGAAATGTAATATTTCTAGAATGGCCAGTGTTGTTCTAAACTGATTACAGTCAAACCTATGTTAATCAGGAGATCATGATGTAGGCTTGTTAAGACAAGTGACTGTTAAAGTAAAGGACAAAACACAGAATATTTCATAACATTTATCAACAAGTTTGCTATGAGCAAAACTTGTTTAAAGCCTTTGTCATAACATGCTGATGAAATTTTGGAATATTCATTTGTCAATTCATGCATGTACATAAATAATGATATCTCTTACAAAATCAGATATAGTAGCTAATTATTTACTCTATGTTTTTACATCTTAACATCGTCAGTATTCCAGACAGTCTCATTGTTAACATCTTCTCTTCCCAATTGTCATCTGTAAACAAGATATTTTGTTGCTTTAATAATGACTCTAGTCATCCTTTTGGCAGTTTAAATCAGATCCCAAAAGTTACCACAAACTAAGTGCTCTGTGTGTGACAGCACTGCTCTACCATTACATTCTTTGTGTGACAGCACTACTATACCACTGCATTGTTTGTGTGACAGCACTACTCTACCACTACATTGTTACTACTATACCACTGCATTGTTTGTGTGACAGCACTACTCTACCACTACATTGTTTGTGTGACAGCACTAATATACCACTACATTGTTTGTGTGACAGCACTACTATACCACTACATTGTTTGTGTGACAGCACTACTCTACCACTACATTGTTT